CCATCCGAAGACTGGACGCCCCTGGTCTAGAATATTCCACTGACACTGAACCACAGCAGCTCTGTGGTCTCAAAAGTATTCCCCTCTGGTTACAAAGGCAGAACTTAACACTGCTTGTTCCTGTAACCAGAAGCGCACGTTGTAAACGTCCAGGACAAAAAGTGAGAACAAAAAGTGAGAACACATATTGACCTCAGAAATATCCTTATTTAGACCTCATGTGCTGTCAGATAGCATTTCCTCCGTAAAGCAGGTTTAGTAAAACCGAGATGACGCCCTAGGAGCGGACACGTACTGTATCTGCTCCGTGATGACCAGTTACCCGCAGGGAGATTCCTGTCCAGCCGCGATCGTGGCTCTGGACTCGTGTGCTTCCGTCTGACCGGTCACAGCCTGAACAGACAGGCCGGGAACCAGGGTGCGAGTTCAGACATCAGGCTGAAATTAACACCTGCTTCCTACCGACGTGTATTCGTTTGTTAAAGCCTATACATACCCCTCCAATTCAAACGCTCCTCTTGAGAAAAATATGCAAAACTTTGCCCCGTTAGGCCCAAAAAAAAATTAGGCCACCGAAGTAACACAGCCTCATTTAGTAAGAAATTGTATAAGAAGAGGAGCTCCTAGATATTCCCCAGATTGTAATACACATTAAATCTCTGCAGTGGCATAAACTAAAATCTTAAATCTGGAGATTTTTTTTAGGTTTGACTGGTCGGAAAAAAATCTTAACTCATTGGACCAGCGTGATTTGAAAAAGATGTTTCTTTTCTTTCAATTATGTTGCAAACTCGCTGTTCACATACAAGTACACCATCTTCGTCAATATCTCGGGTATCTGAAATATAGCTCACGTCCTGCCCGGGAAACCTAAAACGCGAGAGAAAAGGTGGAGTAACGGCGGTTTCTCCTCCGAACGATCAACACATTCGCCACCACCACTAGAGCAGAATGAAACACAGTAACTACAATAACGAGAATATAGCCACTGTTAAACTTCAGGCATACCCAGCGTGACGTCCGAAACCGTCAAAAATATCTAGCGAAGAGGTAAAATATGAACAGCCCGCCAGAACCAACCGAAAAAAAAACGAAACTTTAAAGAGCGTATTTGATTTTAAACTGTACAGGGCGGTACAGAAAGACGGGATTTCTCTGATGTTAAAACGTTTACTCACCTATATTTACTTATTCGGGGCGGCAGGTATTGATGGCTCCTAATCTAAAGACACTCAATGACGTCGCTAAATTCGTACATGTATGTAGGTATGTAGCAGATTTGCTAAACCCCGTCAGTGTCACACTGGCAACAGGAACCCGCAGCTCAGCAGGTCGGTGGTTAACGAAGCATGAACAACAGGAAGACTGCATTTAACCAAATAACTTTCAAAAAACAGAACTAAAGAACCCAAGTTCCCAACTGCTGACAACAGCGACTTTTTCCAAACCCTCTGGGTTTTTGATGGTAGTTAAATAATCCGTTATACAAGCACAAGTAGTTACATTTTAAAACAGTCGTGTTTTAATATTGGAGGTACCTCACCTACCTGGAACTTCCCTGAAGTTTGAAGCTGCGAGAACCGGGGTGTGACGTCACACACTGCTGAAGAGCTGGTCTCTCCAGTGCTCGACACTTTCTTAACCACCCCAATTCCTGAAAGGGACAAGCCCCCTCTCCCTCGCTCGTTTGGGTTTGTACAGGTGCTCCTTTATGAGAAATGAATATTTCTCATAAATATATGAAATAAATATATGAGAAATAATTTCCCAAGAATATGCTACTCAGTTCCACTGTCGAAATCTACACGCTGGAGTCTTTCAATAATAATAATAATAATAATAATAATAATAATAATAATAATAAGTGCTTACACTTATATAGCGCTTTTCTGGACACTCCACTCAGAGCGCTTTACAGGTAATGGGGACTCCCCTCCACCACCACCAATCTGCAGCATCCACCTGGATGATGCGACGGCAGCCATAGTGCGCCAGAACGCTCACTACACATCAGCTATCAGTGGGGAGGAGAGCGGAGTAATGTAGCCAATTCATAGAGGGGGATTATTAGGAGGCCATGATTGATAAAGGCCGATGGGAAATTTGGCCAGGACGCCGGGGTTACACCCCTACTCTTTTCGAGAAACACCCTGGGATTTTTAATGACCAGAGAGTCAGGACCTCGGTCTTATGTCTCATCCGAAGGACGGCGCCTGTTTACAGTATAGTGTCCCCGTCACTATACTGGGGCATTAGGACCCACAGACCGCGGGGTGAGCGCCCCCTGCTGGCCCCACTAACACCTCTTCCAGCAGCAACCTTAGTTTTGTAGATGTAGATGGCGGAGTGGACTTTTCCTTGTCTCCTGAAGTCAACAATCAGCTCTTTGGTTTTGCTGATGTTGAGGCATAGGTTGTTGGTTTGGCACCAGTCTGCAAGTTGTTTTATCTCCTCCCTGCAGGCAGTCTCATCGTTATATCATTCAGTATCACTATGCAACAATTAGCATTGGCCTGTGGGATTGCCTTCTGGGTGATTGAGTGCACCCAGACCATGCCAGGAAAATGCTCCCCTCAGCATTACAGAACCACCAGAACCCTTCACTGCTGGAACCAAGCACTAAAGGCTGTAAAGTTCGCATCCAGATACGGGCCAGGCTCACACCTGCTTCAGTGGGTTGCCAGTCGTGGGTTGCAGGGTGATATAGCTGCTAGTTTAATTTCTTCATGAACTTAAAAATGCAGCTACGCCGGAGTCGGGGGTGCGTTCGTGTTCGTGAAGATTACCATTCGCCCTAGCTGTTTCATTCAACACAGCATTAAAGAAGCTGATCTAACAAGGCTCGACAGTCACTAAGCAGCATACGAGGTGATGTCGCAAAGAGCACTCGCCTGGAAGTGACCAATCAACATCAAGAGCCTGTCGCAGCCTCTCGTATTGTGCCCAATCAGAGAAGGTCGTTCCCTAAAAACACGCCCACCGAGTCCTCCCAAGCCTAAGCCGGGAGGGCTTCTTCAGAAATTGGGGTAGAAAAATCGAGCACCCTCAACAGCACAAAAGCAAACTCGGCAATCATTTAAAAAAATTACTGTGTGCGGGGGGGCAATGACACTTGTTTTAAACGGTAATGATTAGACCAGTATTTTGCTCTGCGTCTTGGAGGCTTTCGCTCCACAAATGTTCCTGCTGAGTTTTGAAGTTCCGTGTTTCATTTGGAATTTTTAATGTGTGCAAAACTACTCAAATTTCTTAAACATTGTGATTTTTATTAACGGTAGGGTATAACTACGGTGGCCGAGACGTGAAAATACGGAACGCATCCGCCGAGGAGGGGTGGGGGCGGCAGTTTTAAGACAGGTTAGCTAAGGAAAGATGTTAACTCATCTTCTGGAAACAAGTTTGTAGGAAACTAAAGGATGCGTTAAAAAGTATGAGAAACGCCGAAAAGATAACTTCCCATCTCGACATATTCGTTTTCTAGGTAGGTTTTCTGCATGAGATTACCTTTAATTAATTATATTATCTTATAATTAATTATAATATATAAAAACAGTAAGTTACAACTGGCTAAAATAGAATGGCGGTACTTTAAAACAGCAGAATGTTCAGCCTCCCACTCGGAAAGGAGACTCGATGCGACAAGTCAACTCCCATGAGCGCAAGGGATAATTAAGTCGTGGCCACGAGTTAGTAAATTGAAACTAAGTCCCCTCCTAACTATATAAGCCACAGCAGCTGCAAGCAGCTAATGTCAGCGTTGTTGTGCCTCTCGGATCTCTAACAGCTGCTGCACAATAAAGACGAAGGCCAGGGGTTAGAGTTTAAACTCTGTACTGAATGTTTATCGAGGCACACCGGTGTTCGGTTGCCTGGAGTCTGTGATTTTTTTCTGGGGATTCCTTCGGGTAACAAAAAAAAAAACCTGAAGGAGGATTTATGAAAAAACAACGAGGAAACTGAAAACGTGCCCAAAGAAGTAAGTTCCTCTGCAGGCTGCAAGCTGATGAAGAGTCGAGTCACGCCGAGCAAGTTCCACACCTGAAAATCCAGCCGAAGCGACTGCAATTTCCCTGTAGGCCACTAGGTGCCAGTATATACTAGCACAACTCTCGACGTTGCTCTATCCTCTTTCTGGAAATGAGTTCATTCTTCAGTAAACTAGAAATCTTTAAACATGTATTGAATTTCTATGTAGACCTTTTTGTTGTTTTTCTGCAATGACTAAACTAATGTAGATCTGAATTCGTACTGTATATGTCTGTATATAACCGCCCCCCCATCTCTGTTGGCACCGAGTAAACACTTCTAAAAAAAAAACGCAATTCTAAACCAAGAGATGGGGGGGAGGCAAAATATTTTGTGCATATAAACTGCGTCTTCAATAACTAAATAAGATGGGAAAATTTAAAAAAATCAGTATATCTTTCCATGCGAAACGGTTTGTGTCACCCCCCAAAAAATGATATCCATCCATTCTCTAAACGCCCCATCCAGTGCAGAGCTGCAGAGGAGCCAGAGCTCATCCTGACAAGCAACGGGTACGAGGGATCTCGTTGCTTGCCGGAATAGCCTCTGGCAGCCCGTGACCCTGAATCGGAAGAAGCAGGTGGAAAATTAATGGATACATTTCAGCTATCGTCGTCCTCTTTTATAAGTATCATTTATAGCTAAAGAAAACCGGCCTGTATCCATTATGATTAAAAGTATTTTTACACCAAAAGA